AACCCAAGGGGGGGTTGCTATGAGTCGGGTCTGACTCGACGGCACATAACAACAAACAACAACAACAGAATGGCTATTAAAAAAAAAAACTCACTGCTGTCAATATAGAGAAATTGGAACCCTCAAACATTGCTGGTAACCAAAAAACCAAACGCACTACCGGCAAGTTGGATCTGACTCATAGCAACCCCTCCTTGGATTTCCAAGGCAGTATCATTACGGAAGTAGATTGCCCAACCTTCCTGGAGTGGCTGGTGTGTTTGAACTGCCAGCCTTCTGGTTAGCAGTCAAATGACTTAGGCACTATGCCACCAGAGCTCCTAGAAATACAAATTTTAAGTATGTTTTTTTTAAAGGAAAAAAAAAAAACCTCACTGCCATCAAGTCAATTCTGACTCACAGCGACTCTATAGGACAGAACAGAAGTGCCCCATAGCAGACTGCCTCACCTCTCTCCCTCATGGAGTGACTCATGGGTTTGAACTGTAGGCCTTCTGGTGAGCAGCCAAATGCTTTAACTACTGTGCCACTAAAGCTCCTTTAAGTATGTAAGTGGTATTAAATATTTTTTAAATTAAATTTTCAACTGCAAATTAAATAGTAAATACACTTATTTCTACACAATTAGATTTATAAGATCTATAATTGTACTTAAATATTTAAGGGAAAAAAGACAACTTTAACAAACCAAATACTGACTGTAAAGGAAATAACTCTGTAAAAGTCTAATGCTGACACACACACACAAACCATAGGAAACAAAAAGCCTTCAATTGATGATATTAATCCCCTAATGATATAAAACAATATGTGGTGTTGCTGACTTACTTTCTGGTTAAGATGAGACTTGTCTGTGAAAATGAATCATGTCATTCAGTTACTTTGCCATTAGTTTGTCAAGTCCATTCTTGGTGACCCCATGTGTGCAGAGTAGAAATGCTCTGTTATCGGCCACATCAAATCTCTTTGCCTTTTTAAATAAGCACCTCCTTTACAAACGCTTTACAAAGTCCTTCACAACTGTAATGCCCAATTCTCTTGTCTTATTTTTCTTTTCACCACCAATAAATCATGAAGATTCAATTAAATTCTACAAATTCACAGACCTAACCGCTAACACAGATTTGAGTTTGAGAGGTAATAAGTATCAATTCTTCTAAGAAACCAAATGCTTTGGTTACCTAGTGCCACTCTGACAGGAATATACCACAAATGGCACGCTTGAACAAACAAGTTTATTGTCTTATAGTTTGGAGGCTTTATGTCCAAGTTCAAGTGCTAGGCTCTAGGGGCGGGTGAAAGCCCCTCTACCTTGGGCTTCAGTTCTGCCTCCTGCTCCCAGCCCACTGGAGCTACATGTTTTTCTTCACTCAGACAGCTACCGCTGAGTCTGAAAGCCCAAGGTTGACAATTGAAAAGACACAGTCCCAATGTTACCAAACCACAGGGCAGGCCATTAATTCAAGTCCACTGAAAGTCCCAAGGTCAACAAAGCATGGCAGGCTGAACAATGACAAGGCTAACAAGCAGTGTTCAAGCATGCCATAAGCTAGAGGCCATTCAGACCACATCCCTAAGGCAGCTACTCAGCTGCTCACAGTAGATTCTACCATAGAGCTGATTACAACTCTCATCATGGGAAATACTACATCCAGCTGTCCAGCCACTCAACGAGGGCCAACCAAGCTGACACACAAACTTAACTACCACACCTAAGTACCAAAAATACTCTACAGAACACAGGTTGAATAACAGCATGGTCAGAAATCTAACAATATAAACAATGCAATTAAAATAACCTGAGAAGTTTTGTTTTAAAATAAAAAAAAAAACTGATGCTGTCCCACCAGATTCTGATTGAACTGGTCTGGAGCAAGGCATGTAGAGTTTAAAATGTTCCCCAGATGATTCTAATTCAAGGATGAGAACTACTTAGTAAGAGGAATGTTAACCAACATTATGAGGAAACAATCTGATAAATCCAGAATGTAGAACATTCTAAATACATCTTCAGAAAATTTCTTAAGTCAGTAGCTCCACAAAAGAACTTTTCAACATAAAAAGAGATTTAAGATGCACACAATGCAATGTATGAACTCTGTCCGAAGCCCAATTCAAATTAAATGTTAAAGACGCCTGGGGAACAACGGGGAATTCTAAAGATGGACTATCCGGATGGCTACACATACACTAAATCAAATTCACTGCCATCAAGTCGATTCCAACTCATACCAACCCCCATTAGGTTTCCAAGGCTATAAATCTTTATGGAAGCAGACTGCCTTATCTTTCTCCTGGGCAGGGTTAGTGGGTTCGAATCACCAACTTTCTGGTTAGCAGTCAAATGCCTTAACCACTAACACCACTAGAGCTCCTTATACATACACATGTACTCATACATAGACAGTCATACCTTGGAGATATTGTGGGTTTGGTTCCAGACTACCACAATAAAGCAAGTATCACAATAAAGCAAGTCACACACACTTTTTGGTTTCCCAGTGCATATAAAAGTTATGTTTACACTATACTGTAGTCTAGTAAGCATGCAATAGCATTAAGAAAAAGTTTCAAATATTGTGAGAATACCAAAATGTGAAGACATGATGCGAGAACATGCTGTTGGAAAAACGGCTCCAAACTAACTCAACAGTGTTGTGACAAACCTTACTTTGTAAAAAAAAAAATCATCTGCAAGCACAATAAAACAAGATATCCTTGCTTATATACATACACACACGTACCTGGTATCAAGAAACTATAAACTGTTTTAAGTTATGATACTAGCACTTCGATTATGTAAGAATGGTCTTATTTTTTAGAGATGCACTCTAAAGAATATGGGAATGAAACATTATGTCTAGGATTTGCTTTAAAATATTTCAGCCTATTAATCAATGAAATAACTGGATGTCTGAAATTTGCTTTAAAACAATCCAGGCTGGGAGGAGGAGGTAATAGATGCAACATTTGTTGATAAACATTGTTTGAAGATTTCCACTAATAGTTTTTTAAAAACTAAATAAATACACAGCTCAAAGAGAAATCAAGACAAAGTAAAAATGCCAAATTGGTAGTAACTCTGCAAAAGTGAACAAATTCGTATATAGTATAGAGGGTTCATTATTCTCATGTGCTTATTTGAAAATTCTTAATTAAAAAAATAGATTCTGTTTAGAGATCTAGAAGCTATTCATATACTCTTGATAAAAGAATAACTCTCATCTACATGATGGCTCATCCTCAACCATGAAGTGCTCTTGGGGAAGGAGGATATTAAATCTAGAAAGTAAAGCAGAAAGAGAATACCCACCAAACAGATCAATTCAGCCTGAACAATCCAAGCAGTAAGACATATGTCATAGCCAGATCACAAGCATACTTAGAATTCAAATACTTTTAAACAGAAAGCCAAAAAATATACAAAAGGAACTTTTCCATACTCAACACCATGTTGTTGTTGTGTGCTGTCAAGTTGCCCCCGACTCACAACGACCCCTCCGTGGGTTTCTGAGGATGTATCACTATGGAAGTAGATTTAGATTGCCCAACCTTCCTTCTGAGTGGCTGGTGGGTTTGAACTGCCAGCCTTCTGGTTAGCAGTCAAGTGCCTTAGGCACTATGCTACCAGAGCTCCTACTTAACACCATATTTATTTCAAAAACTAAACGATTTTCTCTTCAGTAGCACAACTGCCAGGTCATGTCAGTGTTTTTCTGCAGCTCTCGTTGCATTATTTATTATTACTAACAACAGTAAAATCAGAATAGTTCCTTAAAGGTTTCTTTGACTTAAAACCATCTCAAAATAACAAATTCACAAAGACCAACTTGATCATGCAGAAATTTTAGAACTCAGTCCTTTGAAAACATTATTCTTTTATGTTTCTTTCAAAAAGCTTTCAAAAAAGCAAATACTAAAATTGACAACCGAAACAAAATCCTGTTACTTTCATCTGGTTTTAAGTGTGAATACCTAACTGTTCACATAGACATGACAAGATACTTTGTTTTAATGTAAGAAAGGCAGTAACATTCTAAGATCTCCTACTTGCAGGTTTTAAAAAAACTGTTATAAAAGATCATTCTGAAGCTTTTTCTTTTCAGCATGTTTTGCTTATACAAGACCCTGAATATGGCCTTGCATACAAATGGCAAAAAATATTTTCCTGAAAAATGCTTTAATCCACTGAGGACAAAAGAATCCCTAAAACTACAACAGTATATAAAACCAAACTATGTATTGTAACGGCGACTAAACAGGTTGGCAAGCAAGGTCAGTACAAGGGGGAAGAAAAAAAAGTGCAATTCACACTACTGTTAAATGCTCCCCAAAAACTGCATAGTTAAGACTGTTATGTTGGGCAAGGGTAGTATAAAGCTCATAAAAATTTATCAACTTTCTATGGCATTCAATAAACGTACAGTTTATAAAAGCAAAAGTTACTGAAGGAGTGGCATATTCTCAAAGCAACATTACTTTTATTACTCAGCTTAAAAGAAAAAAAATGCTAAAGGGAAACATTTCTCCACCTTGAAAGACCAATGATTCCTATGGAACAGGTGGTCGAAAGACCTGGGCGGGGCAAAAAGAAAGAAAACCAACCAGAACTAGATTTACAAATCTCTTTTTAAAAAAGAAAAAAAAAAAAAAAATGCAACAACTTAGCTGAATGGCTGTCTCTCGCGCGCAAGCGCAAACACGCTATACATGCCATAGGCAGCAGCACCTGGAGACCCACCCTCGCTGCAAAACCTCAGCGAAATGACCCACATCTCCGCCCCAAGTCGCTCCCCGAAGACTATTTCCTACCAAAACAAACCCAATCACCTAAAAAACAAAATAAAACCTGATGGGGGGGCTGTAGCGCTGTCCCAGGGGCCGCCCTCCCACCGCAGCCGAAAGCAGCGCAAACACTACACAACTAGAGCATGAGTGTCCACGAAGGGGGCGGAGGGCGGATGCACTGACAACATTGGAATGGGTGTCAAAAGTCTCACCAATTCCTCGTAGCTCCTGTTGTGCTCATTGCCCTCCCAATCCAACCTCTTCGGCAACAACTGCAAAGACACGAAATGCACACAGATGACTACAGCTCAAATGTAGAAACACCCGGGGGCGGGGGACCGGGCATCACTCTAGGGGCAAGGTCTGGAGGAGGGGACGAGGAGGGGACGAGGAGGGGACGAGGAGGGGACGCGGAGGGGCGGACAGGCGCGCTGAGGACAGAGAAGCACAGACCTGGTACTGCTCCAGCTCCTGCACCAGCACCTGCAGCCGATAAGACGCATATTAGGGGTGGGTCTGGGACCGCACCCCTACTCCATAAAATACTCTCCACCCGCGACCCCCGGCGGCGGCGGCCGCGGGGCCAGAAAGCCCGAGGTCGCCGCTGCCGACCACAGGTCCCACACTCACCTGGGCCGCTCTCCGACACGGGCCCGCCGATAGGTACCGGGCGATGAGGAAGTATAGCTCTGCGGGAAGACGAGGGAGCCAAATCAAGACCCAAGCGAGGGGAAGGGGAGAGACCGGGCAGCCGGGCAAACCGAGGCCGGGGGCGCCGCGTGGAGGAGCAATGGAAGCGCAACCCGCATCTTACCTGACTCGATGAGGGGGACGGGGCGTCGGGCGGGCGAGGGCTCCGCCATGGCCGCGCGCGGGGCGGGAAGTGGGAGCGGGCGAGCGAAATGTGTAGGCCGCGCCGAGGCCTGACCGGGTCAGCGTCCCTCTACCTCAGGCGCGCCGCCACCGCCGCCATGCTATGCGCGCCGCTTGCGTCCGACTCCTCCGCGGGGGGTGTGGAAAATAGTTCCCCCGCGTAGGGGCGCTTGGTAAGAAGCAAAGACGTATGGACGAACCCTAACCGGAAAAGAGAGCCTCGCCCCTTCTTTCCTGGCTTTTGGGTAGGTGGCGGAAAAACTGACAGGTGAACAAAGGCCTCGATCCGAGGGGAGGGAGCTGATGTGTGGGGGAGGGGAGTGCGCGTAGTAGAGATCCCTGCGCGCGGTGAGGCGGTGGTCCGGTCTTTGTGAGGCGCCTGCGCGGCGACGCAGCTCCGCAACTGGTATCTGAGGTTGAGGTCCTGCCACTTCCCGACGCGAGGCAGTGGGTGCGGAGCGGGTCACCGTTGCGCTAGACGTGGGGCTGGCGGGGCCCAAGGTCGCGGAGCTGCCGTTGGCAGCGGGTCCGTTTGAGTCGCCAGCTTTTGGTTCTTCTGAAGGACATTGTGTTTGCCCCCCACGAAGATCTGTCACTTCGGGATGCGAAAGCCTTAACCTTGAGGATTTATTCACCGCAGCCCACGCAAAGAGGAAAACATCGGCCCCAGAAGCTTTCCCTGGGGAGGAGAAATGCGGGGGACGCCACTGGCCAGAAAGACGATGTTGGTTGTGCCCCGGGCTGCGTTAAGGTCCTCCTCCGACCTGTGGCCTTTGGACACAGAACCTTTAAGGCTTGGAGTATTTAACAGCTGTCTACTGATAAGTCTGAGAGCTCCGGTAGCATAGTGGGTAAGGCACTTAACTGCTAACCTGGAGGCTGGTGGTTCAAATCCACCAGCCACTCCTTGGAAGAAAGATGAGGCAATCTACTTCCTTAGTGATACTGCCTCAGAAACCCAAGGAAGGGTTAAGTAAAACGCACGCTGAGGGTGTATATCTCACAGATCAGAGAAAGCAGACCAGAACTAGTGATAACTTAGTATGAAAAGGAAACGAGAGGGCAGTACATACCAGAGCAGCCCATTCCAAGGAAGAGAAGCAGGAAACTGCATGCTGTTTGAGAGAAACCATGTGTCATTAGGAACCTCTTGGAAGATAAGAAGATTTAAGGGTGGAAAGGTGGACAGGACCAAAAAAATTCCCGTAATTGAGATGATAGGCTTCTAACCAAATTGGATTCATCCATGTATTCATCCAACAAACATTGAGTCAGCACACTCCTAGTGCCCTGGTCTGAGTCCTAAAATTGCAGCATTAGCAAATCAATGGGCCGCACATGACAGTTCTGATTCCTATTCATAATAACATCCACAGCACAGAGGTTAAATAGAATGATTCAGAGTGGACTTGGGCAGGACTGACTGACTTGAACCTTGTCACAAATCCACTATTGATTAGATGTGTAACCTTGAGCAAGTCACTTAACCTGTTCCTCAATTTTCCTTTGTGCATATCTCATAGGTTTGTAATGACTCAGTGGATTAATATGTGTTGCTAGCATATACTAGGTACCACATACATGTTAACTCTTATTATTTACACCAAATAGCAAAAGCTCTTGATAGATACAGATAGGCCACCTGGCTTGCACAAATGGTTAATCAAGAGTTTGGAAGTTTAAGTCCACTCAGAGGTGATTTGAAGAAAAGCCTGCTGATCTACCTCTCTACTTTTGAAAGGTCACAACCACTGAAAACGCTGTGAAGCACATTTCTTCTACTTTAATACACATGGGGTCGCCATGAGTTGGAACTGATTTGATGGCAAAGTAGTTTGGTATAGGGAGCTCTGGTAGCGTAGTGCCTAAGGCACTTGACTGATAATCAGTAGGCTGGCGATTCAAACCCACCAGCCACTCCTCGGAAGGAAGATGGGGCAATCTCCTTCCGTAGTGATAGTGCCTCGGAAACCCAAGGAGGGGTCGCTATGAGTCAGGTCCGACTGGACGACACATAACAACAACAACAGTTTGGTATAAGTCTCAGGGAAAGATACAAACATGTTTGGATTGGTACATCCTTAAGTCTGTTTTTAACACAAGTAATGAAGATAAAAATATGGAAGAATAAGCCATCAAAGGTTTCAGTATCTTTTAGGGAAAACAGACATGTATGCAAATAGTGACAAGATTTAGGGCAGAGAAGAAGGGGGATAAACTTGCCTATGGAAGGGGGAGAAATTTCATTTTCCAGACTGCACTGCAGGGAAAGGGAGTCCATACATAAAAACAACAAAGGGCTATACAATAACATTAAAAGTTTAGGATGGCTATCTAGGATAACTTTTGAGGTACAGATGGAAGCTGTTTGGTCTTTTTTTTTTTTTTTTTGGTGGAGGTGAAAGTTTACAGAGCAAATTCATTTTCTATACAGAGTTCATACACACTTTATTTCATGATGTTGACTGCAATCCCCACAATGTAACAACTCTCTTCCCACATCCTACCTGTAGTTACCTCTTCCCCATGTCCTTCTTTCCTGTGCATTCTTACCTCCTGAGCTATCTCCCTGTACAAATACTGCCCTTCTATTTTCCCATGAGTGATCATTCTAAGGAGTGTATCTACCGTGTGTAAATGTTCTGCTTATATGCCCGTCTATTGTTTGGCTGGAAGCCCCACTAGTGAGTTTAACTCCGGGCCTGAAAAGGTGACTAGGGGCTATAGTCTCAGGGGTTTCACCAGGCCCTATCAGACCAATAAGTCTAGTCTTTTTTATGATTTCGAGTTTTGTTCCCCAAATTTTTTGTTCTTCCACTCTATCTCAGATCTCCTGCACTGATCCTTTTCCAAGTGGCGAACCCATTTAGTCTTGGAGCTAAAATTGAGAGCAACTAAGCAGGCAAGTATCTGTTTTTCCTTCTTAGACTGGATTCGAGAGAGGCGAGACCAGGAGACAGGAAAACCATGGGCTCAAGCATAGCAAAGGTTGTGAGGTTGCCACAGGATTGGGCAGTGTTTCATTCTGTTGTACACAGGGTCACTGTAAGTCAGGTTCAAGAATATGTAGATGGTTAAATCAACAAGAGGTTGGGGTGAAAAGAGAAAGTAGAAAGGGTCATACAAGAATCTCAATTTAGGGGTTTAGTAAGTCAAGATTGTGCCACCCAGTGAGATAGGGAATGAAAGCTGTTGCTTCAAACAACTTCATGTTTCGAACATACAGAACATATATTCCCACAGGACAGTGTGATCTGATACTGCTATATTACCAAAGTTAGCAAGTGACAAAGGCATAAAGAGAATTTGAATGTTTAAAGATTGACCAAGGCATTATATATTTCATTTTGTAACAATAACATAAAAGTAAAAGATAACTCCCAAAAGATATTCAAGTGCTGGTCATTGTCCAGAACTATAATTCTGATGTGAGCAGCATGGTAACTGTTACAAGAGATCAGAAAATCATGGCATGGGTTTTCCTTTGCAAGAGCACAAATGGTTCCAGTTGTCCTTTTACAACTCACTCAGACCTGTGACAAATATTATCCCTAGAGTTTAAGTATAGACAAGAAGGAGAGTATCTGCCCCTATTCAACCCCAAAATGATAAAGATTTGACTTCCACATATACTTACCAGGTAGAGGAAAAGGGGTTTTGTTGGTTTAGCAACTCCACAGTGGGCACCAGCCAGAAATGGTCTTCAAACAAGGGGAGAATCTTGTATTTCACGCAGTTGAAGCCAAACCATTTCAAATGCACACACTAAAGTTTGCTTTATGCAAGCGGAAATAATTTTTGTGTTGCATCATAGGAAAGCTATATGGAGAGCTATCTGAAAGTTTAAAAGTTGGTTTATAAGCCAAGACTGTAAGACCAACAGCACGTGACATCAAGCAATGATAGTGTGTCCCATCTCCACAGTGATGCATCTTCCAAGGGACTGAAATGTTTTAGTTCTTGGCAGCCAACCCCTCTCCTGGATAAACATTGCTGATCCTCACAACTTCTAGACTGGTGTTAGTAATATGCTTACTTCAACATGAGGAAGTGGGGGCCCCAAGAGATTGAGAAAAGCCCAAAGGCATGACACTAATAAATGGCAACCTGTCTATAAATCCAGGTGGAACAATTATACTTCAACTGAACAGAAGCACTGCAAAATTCTTTATTCCTTTATTATATTTCACAGAGGAGAAAATCAAGGCCTGAAGAGTAGGGGACTTATACAAGGTTGCACAGCTAGGATGTGACAGAATCTGAAACACACGTGATAGTACTTTAATGCATACTCTCATTTACTACAGACAACTCTGAGTCATATTCTCTCATACCCACTTTAAAGAGGAGAAAACTGAGGCAAAGTTTAGAATTTTCTTTAGAATGAAAAACCTTTTTTTAAAAAAATAATAAAATTCAATAAGGCTTTTCCAAGTCACCACTTAGGAAGCACAAAAGCATTAAATCTGGAAAGCTTATCTGGAAAATTGTGAGCAAACCAGTGTGGCTCTAACAGTTCACTTAGAGTAGTAATCAAAGATGATGGTTAAAGAGTATTGAAAAGACTTTGATAAATGAGGTAAGGAAATCTGAGCAGTGGAAATCTTGCAAAAATTGGATATTTAATTCAAATCCTATTATCAGTATATTTAATGCAAAATTTATGTCAACTGACTTAAGATTTGTTCAGCAGTTGTTGCTGAGGCATGCACAATGTTGACGTAGTTCTGAGGGACATAAAGTTGGACCCCTAGAAGAGAGATACCATAAAAATGAATCAGTGCATGACAGCACAATCAAGTGTCCCCAAAACCTGGATGATAAATTTGTTCTACAAAAACTGTATTGAGAGCTGTCACTAAAGCAAGCACTATGTGATAAACACTGGCTCCTGGGCTTCTAGTGGTTGAATCCCCCAGAAATAGAATACTTAACATTTTAGTAGATTTTTCAGAGGCCTTTGTGAGACAAAATGAGTAAAGTTCTCTGATCTTTCTGTAAGTCTTCAGTCACTAGGAGACCAAGCATTTAGTTCTTAGGGCTCCACCTCTACCTACTTGTTGTATCCTCCTTCTCTCTAGACCTTTTCTTTCCTTGAAGTCTAACCTAACCGTTGTTTTTGTTGTTATTTGCCATCACGTCAGTCCCGACTCATAGCGAG